ACTGTCGCTAGACATTTGATTTAGTTTCCATTCATCTTCAAAAACAATAAAAGAAAAACTAAATGGGTTTCGATGAATCTCCTGAGATAACATTATTGTTTGGACTTTCATTTCGTACCAAAGTGTAAGAAGAGGAGATTCGAAGGTCGATCTCATCAAAAGAGGACAGTTAAATCCCGTTGTCCTACAGTCGTTTGACGCTGAGATTGATGCAGTCCCTAAGACCTCTCTCTTTTCGGGTGAAAACAAAACCAAACCATTCTATATCGATATGTGATTTAAATTCTCTTTTGCTTAAATGAGACTATATAATAGGTAAGATAGAGCCAGAAAGTATTCTTGTCTTAGTTTTAACTTAAGAATTTTACAAGAATGAGTCCCAGCTCTGAAGATGCCCATCATATAAAGGACAAAAGCTCAGCCCGTTTTTTCTTGAAAAGAGGTCTCGGGGATAGCATCAATCTCAACGTCGTATGAAAGCCAAACGGCTGCAGTACAATGGGATTCAACCGTCCTCTTCTGGTGAGATCGACCTTCGAATACTTTCTTCTTACACTTTCATCGGAAATGAAAGTCCCAGCAATACTAGGAGAACTAGGTCAGCGAAATTGCCAAAAATGAGTATTTTTGAAAGTATTATACATTATAGATACGAAAAGAAGCTAGGTTTCGATGAATCTCTTGACATAATATTGTTAGAGGGACTTTCAGTTCGCATGAAAGTAAATGAAAAAGAGATTATTTGGTCGATCTCACAAGATGAGGATGGATGAATTTCGTCGTACTGCAGCCTTTTTGCTTTTATACGATATTCATTCTGACGAAGTTCACAAGACTTCCTCCCTCGTTTCGGGTGAAAACGTGCTGCGCTTTCGTCCGTTATTCAATGGACATTATCAGAGCTGGGTTTCATTCTTGTAAGAGTCTCACGTCAACACTAAGCCAAGAACACTATACGGCTCTATCTTACTTCTTATGTAGACTCAATTGATCCAAATGGAAATTAAAAACCGAGATATATCGATATAAAGTGGTTCGGTTTATTTTCTTCCATACTGGTCCTGTTCTTTTTGCTCGATTGTATGAGTATGTGTATTTGTGCGTGTGAGCACGTTTTCACCAGAAACGAGGGAGGAAGTCCCGTGGACTGCGTCAACATGAATATCGTATAAAATCCAAACGGCTGCAGTACTGAGATTCATCTGTCCTCATCTGGTGAGATAGACCAATGAATCTTTCCATTCACTTTCATGCGAACTGAAAGTCCCCTTAACAATATTATACATCAGATGGACTTAAAATGCAATTAAAGCCATGAATAGCAAATAATCAGCCGTCAATGCTTAAGTAATTATGAATAACAGTTTAGAGAGTATAAAAAAGGAGTACCGCTTGCTGTTGCTGCTGCATAAGATTGGCCTGAAATGCATCGATCATCCCGGCTGAAGTCACGGGCATTTGACCGAACTGTCCAAATGTCTGTGCCCCTGAAAATAAGTCATGTTGGAACTGTTGTTGAACAGAAGGAGTAAGTGACGGTACTCCAGCACTAGCAGCGCAGACTGAACCAGTCATTGGAGACCTTGTAACGGATACAGATGAGTTCTGTTGCTGCTGCTGCTGGGAAAATGCCTGTGGAAGACCTGACAATGAGAACATCCGATTTCCGGGTATAGCGGCGAAAAGGGAGGAAGTGCTGGTGATGGCGGGTGACACAGTAAATGCAGTCGGTGTAGAAATCGATGAACCACCCAGATTCAATCTAACAAGACCTGAGTTACTGTTTTCGGTACAGCCACTGATATTGATAGGTCTATGGTCATTGCTACATACAGAAACGGTAGGGCAGCTGGAGCCAGGGCTAGCTGTATTAACTGAAGAAGATGCAACACCGACAGATGAGGGGGTAAGCTTGAGAAGTTGCAGGACACTCGCAGCGGTGCCTACTTGGAGGTTAGTTGCTGGAACATGGCCTAAAGAGGACAGGAAGCTGTTCGAAGGGTTTGATAGCAAATCTGATGCAACGTGGGGCTGACAGGACTCAGAAAATAGGCGATCTGAAAGAGTGAAGCATAAAATTGAAATGAAGATAATATCATAAATGATAAACATAAACGTTACATAAAAACACTATATAAAAGGAAAGGGTTGAATATAGCGCAAAAGTAGCGACAAAAATAATGATGAAAGTTGAATAGTAGATATGAATACCAGGATGGTATGGCCTAAGACTTAGCTGCAGCCTAATTTAGCTGTATAGTGTTCATTTGAAGCTTGACGAGTAAATTGAACATCTATCTCATGAATAAAATCAAGAAAGTAAATTAATATAAGAATAGCACTGCGCTGATGTAAAAACGTAACTAGTGACATGGAAAAAATATGAAGAGTAGTATAGAAGAATACTTGTCACGAAAGTAGAAATAGTGGGGTTGATTTGTTTCTCAAAGATTCCATAATCTACCTGAATACATAAGGAAGATTATTTTACAAGTAACTCGACCATAAGTAAAGTTAAAAAGAGCAGATAATCAGTGTATAAAAATTAATAAGGTAAAATAAGGTCACCTACTTTATACAAATGATTTAGATTAAGTGACATTAAAAGTGTACGCTTTTCTACTTGGAGTGTGTGGACATTCCAAATATGGTAACGCTAGAATAAACTGCGATACCAGAGCAGTGCAAAAGTTTTTGTCCAAACTCAATTAAAGAAATTTGCGATAAAAATTACAAATAGTACGTGCAATGAGTTAACCGGATTGGTTATTGGTAGGGATTAGCTATTGTATTCCATTATTTTTCGCATTTAAGTATTGTTTTGAGACTACCAGGAAATCAGTAATATTCACCCAATTTCGTTTAGGGTAATGAAAGACTGGTAGAAGAATTTTCCCACAATGATATGAGTAGAGCTGACGTTTCCATTGAATTTCAAATAGCCTTGCTTTCCCAAAAGTTTTTCTTATCCAGGCACCAGTGGACTGTAGTTTTGACCTCACATCGATCTTATCAACACCCCCAGCGGGAGTCGAACCATGACAGTGCAGAATAGGAGCTTGACACGTTAACCACTCGGCCACATTGCCCCTGGGTCACAGGGAAAATATGAATTTCAAGAAAGGCCAGGCCTTTTGGCATATCATATTATTTGGTGGGATTGTCGATGAAGAAAACGTATATTTGCTATAACAATCGACTTTATTTTTCGCATTCTTCTTCTACCAGTCCTAAATCACCTTAAACGAAATTGGTTGAATACATCTCATATTACTGATTTCCTAGTAGTCTCGAAACAATACTTAAATGCGAAAAATAAAGTAACGTAGTTGATTGTTAAAACAAATATACATTTGCTTCATCAGCAATCCCACCAAAGAATATGATATGGCAAAAGGTCTGGCCTTCCTTGAAATTCACGTTTGCCCTGTAACCCAAGGGCACTCGTGGCAATGTGACCGAATGTTTAACGTGTCAAGCACCCATTCTGCACTGTCACGGTTCGACTCCCGTTGGGGGTGTTGATAAGACCGATGCGAGATCGAAACTGCAGTCCATTGGTGCAACTTTTAGGAAAGCAAGGCTATGTGAAATTCAATGGAAACGTCAGCTCTACTCATATCATTGTGGGA